TAGACTTTCATTGCTTCGTTGGTTAACAGTTACTACTTGTTCGTTGGGCTGTCGTGCTTTTATCTGGCTTGTCATTGCTCGCTATTGCTCTTCTGCTGTGATCTGTCTTATTTTTATTTCTCTTCTGCCACCTTGAGTTTCTTGCTTCCCCTCCATCCCCACCCTCCCTTGCTGATTGTGAGGAGAATCTCATTCATCTCTCTCTTTTTTCTTCTTCTTCTTCTTCTTCTTCTTCTTTTCCCCTCCACAGCAGCATCTGAATGTGTGGTTTTGCCTAGATCAGTCTCACTTGCATTCAAGAGCCTGGCTGCCAAGGCTACTCGTGTTGCTCTCTTCTTTGGCTCTTCTCACCTGCGGCTCTGTCAGCCTACCGGTTGGTCGGCTTATTTGCTGCTGCTTTGCAACTGTCCTCTCTTTTCATCTGAACTGTGTCGGTTGTCTTCTCTGCTAAGTTAGTTGTCTTCGTTGTCTGTCTGCTTTTCTTTCTTTCTTTCTATTTGCACAATGGATGCCTCTCCGGATTCTGGCTCCAATGTGGAGCAGCAGCAGCAGCAACAACAACAACAACAACAACAACAACAACAACCACCCATCACACTCAGCACTCAAGACCCCCCTGAGTCGGTTAGGGAAACCACCGTCACCATCGAGGCGGCCACAGATGATTTGGCAGTCCCTGCCACAGACCCCATCACAACAAGCATCCCCTTAGAACCCCTATCATCGAATTCACCCCCAGTCGAGATTCAGGATGAGGCACCTCGAGATGATATCCCGCCTCCGGTGCAAGCAGACCCCGTTCCGGTGATTCAGCCCCCCCAACCGGAGCTGGAACATGCCTACTGGGCCGATATCGAGGAGGATCTGTCGATTCCCGATGAGGCAGAGATGAAGGAAATCGAATCGGCGGCGGATGGCGACTACAGCGCCTACGAGTGTAAGCTCACACAAGCAATTTCCGCCGGATCTGATCCAGGACTATGATAGCTGACAAGATCAGATGACTACTGGGAGAAGAACTTCCACCCCGATCTGGATGACCCCGAATACCGCCCGGCGGAGAAGGCCCGCATGACATGGAAGATCAAGGGCGTGCGAGGCACCCCAGACGCCCCCAACCGCGTCAAGATCATGCGTTCTCCGCCCGCCTACATGGGCGGTTATTGGTGGACCATCAAGTTCTTCCCTCGGGGGAACAACGTCAATTCTCTCAGTATCTACATCGAGTGCTCTCCGACCATGCCGCCTCCGGACAAGAATCTGCCCGAGACCGAGTTCAAGGTGATGCACGGCCCGGCTGATGCAGCCCTGGATGTCAATGCACCCGACGTTGACATGAAGTTCGCTCAGACCAACGATTCCGCAAGTTGGTTGGAGGCTTTCAAGGCCCAGTACCCCGCTGCCGCTCATCAGGCAGAATCGACCGGCACCAAGTCCTGGCGGGTGTCGGCTCAAATTGGCGTCATTCTGTATAACCCCGAGGAGCCGCGGACGGGCTGGATGCAGTCCTCGTGCCATCAGTTCAACCCCCACAACCTGGACTGGGGCTGGACCAACTTCCACGGTCCCTGGGACCAGATCCACCGCCGCCAGCGAGGCCAGCGTCAGGCGCTTCTCCGCAACGATACCCTGGCGTTTGATGCGTATATCCGCATTGTCGACGACCCCACCCGCTCCCTCTGGTGGCATGCTAGTGACACCGAGCCGACGTGGGATAGCCTGAGTCTCACGGGCTATCGGCCGTTGGGTGACTCCGTCATCAATCACAGTGCCGAGGTAGCTGGGCTGGCCACCTGGGTGCATATGGCGCCTTTTTGCAAGATCATCCAGAAGGCCAATGTCTTGGAGCATCTGACCAGCTGCGATGTCAAGCCGAAGCCGCTCTGCGATGCCCTACAAAAGTTCCTGTGGCAACTGCGCTCCCGGGGCCAATCGCTGCAGTATGTGGATACGGACATGATCACCTCGACCTTGCGTAACCTGCACGAATACTCCGGCGATGTGTGCGAGTTCTGGGAACGTTTACGCCGCACGCTCGAAATCGAACTGGCAGGCACAGACGCGGGGCAGGAATTGGCCAGGCTGTTCGACAGCCCGTCAATCGAGTCGCTTCCCAGCGAAGCGCAGACTCAGGATGTGATCAATACTGTCCCGAAGGACTACAACTCCCGAATTTGTGTGCCGGCTGACCAAGTCAAGACAACCAGTGAAGCCTTCAGCTGGTACTTGAGTGCCAAGCCCGGACGCTGGGTGCTTCCCCCTGTGCTTCACTTGGAGTTGGGTCGTCAGAAGCTGGACAAGGCTGCTCGGCAATGGCGACTGCTCTACAACCGAGTTGATCTGGATGAGGAGCTGGACTTGACGCCATGGCTGCTGGATGGCCAGGAAGGCAAATACGTCCTCTACGGCTACATCGTTCACCGTGGTCGGCGTACGTCTGGCAAATTCTTCAGTATTCTGCGACCGGGAGGCCCCGGAACCAGATGGCTCGCTTTCGATGATGGCAGTGATAACCGTGTCGAATGCTTGACTCGGAAGACCGCCTTGGGCCCTCACCTCGGTCTGGACGCCTCCCAGAAGGTGGACCACAAGACCGGCCATGATGTTGCCATTGCCGTGATGTACATCCGCAGTGATGTCGTTCAGGAGTTCTTGCCTGGCCCGCAAGGTCCATGGGACGTGCCCGCGAGTCTGAAAGAGTACTATGAAACGGGCATCCCTCCGGTGCAATTGGATGACAAGTGCGACAAGGATGAGATCAACGTGGAGGTCTACTCGCTGCCGAAGTACGATCAACTGGGCAGCTTGTTCGATACGTATGATTTGATGTCACAGGCCAAGTTGGAAAACGGTGTCATGTATCTGACTGTGCCCCGCTCGTCCAACTATGTTGATCTCCGAAAGAAGATTGCCATGTGGGCATCTGCCAAGTCTAGCGAGAGCACTTGTGCCGAGCATGTCCGGCTGTGGCAGATCGGTCACACTCGTGACCAGTTCGGGCCTACCCTTGCATTTGCTCGTATCTCCGACCTGACGAGCACCTTGGACTTTCCGCTGAAGACGGTCCGTTTCTGGATGCAGGTTGTCTCTGATGGTATGTATCTTCTCCCTTACGTATTATACACGTTACTAATTAAAGAGCAGAGAACGCCAAATTCTTCGCCATAGCGGATCCACCACAGGCGATTTCGATTCAGGCCAAGCCTGAGGAAGCCGTGGTTGAACGCGCCGGTTCAGAATCCTCGGAAGATAGACTGCCTCTTCCCGAAGGTGAAGCTGCCCGCGCGAGCTCATCGGGAACTGTACCGGAGAACAGCATCAGTGCAACTGGGGGTGCGACAATCACCAACGCTGTGAATGTTTCACACATCGAAATTGTCCCTCAGGATCCTGTGACTACGGACTCGAGCGGCACGCGTGCGCCTACTACTGGAGACTCCGAGAACGATGCAGTTATTGCTGCCATTATCGCGGAAGATCTCCAGCAGATGGATACCGACCGAGTCCCTGATGCAGCTCCCCCGGTCACTCAGGAGCCCGGTCAAGCGGTACCAGCTGAGCCTGAGACTCAGGCTAGCACAGCTGCGGACATTCCTGCTCCGTCAATCGAGCCGGAGGTCCCCCAGCCAGTAGACCACGTGTACTACTTCATCCAAAGGTTCGATGTGGAAGCGCAGGCCTTGCGCACAGTGGGATCCTTCTTCTCGAAGAAGGAAGAGAACATCAAGAATGCCGTCCGGAGACATCTCAAGATGCCGCCAATGAAGGATTTCCAGATCTGGCAACGTGTGGATGGAACCACCGTGACTACCATGGCTTCGGGCGAGACATTCGAGGTTTATGTTCCCGATGGTACCTGCTTTATTGTGGGTGACAAGTTGAACAAAGACAGGTAAGCCTAACCTATCCTCGTGTAATTGCTCCCAGACTAACCTCTACCTCTATAGACGATTGCAGCTCAACGTGGCCGGTCTCTTCGGCAATCCCGATCAGCTAGTCCGCTATCTGTGGGCTGACTCTCGCAACCACCCCACGCGTGCCTTCACTGGCTTCAAGACCATTGATGCGTCATTCACGAACGACTACTACAGTGGGGAATTCAACAAGGGTCACTTCCACGGCAAGGGCAAGCACATCTCTGACCTTGCCGCAACCTACGTCGGAGATTTCGTGCTAGGCAAGCGCCATGGAACCGGCTTCATGGAGTATCCGACCGGGGACACGTACGACGGTGACTGGTTCGACGGCATTTGTCACGGACAGGGCACGTACGTCGAGCGCAAGACAGGCAACAAGTATGTCGGCGGGTACAAGGACGGCAAACGTCACGGCAAGGGCATCAGCTACTGGGAGGTAGCCGATGAAGAAATGGATCTGTGTCAGATCTGTTACGGAGAAGAGCAAGACGCCTTGTTCTATGACTGTGGGCATGTTTGTGCCTGCGTGACCTGCGCTCGCCAGGTCGATCTCTGTCCCATCTGCCGGAAGAACATCATCAGCGTGGTCAAGATCTACCGCACATGAAGAGCCCGTCTGCCTGCCCTCTTCCCAACTTCGTTACAGGACAAAGGGGAAATAGAGATACGCGTCCCCGCTGCATTTGGTTACAGTTAATATTGCATTGAAGAATTCATCATACCCAGGATGTTGCAAAGACCGGAGTGATTGGTTTGGTTGATATTAGACATGATGTTGTCAGCAGATTTGGAGTTTAGACTTGATTATACTATCTGTTTTATTTTATTGAAGTTAAAGCAATCAAGAATTTGCAGTTAAACCTTACAATCTCAGAGTAAATTTATTGTAGACAAAGTACCATGATCACAGCGAACACTCGGCTACTAGTATGAATATCACCTCAATGAACGTACCCCATCCCTATCCTACCCAAATGCACGCAGCCTAGTAATCTTCCCCCCACCTACTTACCACTCTCATCTACAACACCCAACCATACTACAAATCCAACCCTACCAAACAACTACGAATGACCAAAATAAAAGAAGAAAATAATGGTATCTATTGACTCGACTCGACTCAACTCACTCACTCACTCAGCCCAAGTAGAAGAACGAAGCTATCTATCTATCTACCACCATCATCATCATCATCATACCAAAAATAAAATAGAAAAAGAAAAGAGAAATATAAAGAAACATATGCATGCGCCGCCCGTACAGAACCAACAAGACAAGACAAGACAATAACAAGACAAATAAATGCTTTTTATGTCAAACCATGAACATCAACAACAACAATCACCTCATGAGTTAGATTACAAGAAGGGGAAGTAAAGAGTCAATCAAGAGAGCAGAAAATGGGTTACTCATTTCTTGCTTGTCTTCTTAGCGGTCTTCTTCGTCTTCTTCTCTGTGGGTTCTTGCGCAGTAGTGGTGGGTTTTTGTTGCTGCTTCTTTGTCGTGGTGGAGGGTTCTGTGTCTGTCTTGGTTTTGGTGGCGGGCTTGGGGGACTCAGTCTTGGACTTGGGCTTGGGCTTCTCTTCCTTTGATTCCTTCTTAGGGGTCTCCTTCTCCTTCTTTTCCTCGGTCTTCTTCTCGGCAGCGGGAGAGTCGGAGGACTCGTCCTTGGACTTGGTCTTGGCGGGCTTGTTCAGAACAGCCTTAGGGTTCAGACCCTTACGGCGGAGACGGTTGCGCTCGGCGCGGGCGATACGGGCAGCGTCTTCCTCGTCCTCTTCGAAGGGACCGAAGCTGCCGCCTTCGGTTTCGATGACCATGCCGTCTTCGTCGGTGATGGGGGTCTTGTCGATGGGTTCGTCGTCATCGGTGGTGGTGGAGGCGACGGAGGGGGTCTTGGACTTCTTGGCGGAGGTGCCATCGGTAGAGGTAGCGGCAGCGGCAGCGGCATCGCCAGGCTTGGGGGTAGGGGAGGCGGCGGTCTTCTTGAGCTTGCAGACGAAGAAACCGTCGACGTTCTCGCGGTGGGGGAAGTAGCGTCTCGTGAGGGTCATCTTGGGGTCGAAGTGCTTGCCCATGTAGCTGGTCATACCGGGGCTGCCGAAGTCGCCGAGGCCGGTGTCGACGAGCTTGACGTTGGGGCGCTTGCGCAGGACGTACTGCACGACGGCTTCGTTCTCTTCAACGGTGACACTGCAGGTGGAGTAGACGATGTAGCCGCCGGTCTTGGAGGCGTGGTCGACGGAGTCGATGGCGGCGAGGAGAAGCTGGCGCTGCATGTGGGGGATGGCGAGGAAGTCGCGCTCGTTCTTGGAGGTCTTGACGCCGGGATCCTTAGAAATGACACCGGTACCGGTGCAGGGGGCATCGAGAAGGACACGGTCGAAACCACCCATGGCCTTGGGGAAGGCGGTGCGGGCATCCATGTTGGTCACGATGGTGTTCTTGCAGCCCAGACGGTGGATGTTACCGATCAGACCCTTGGCACGGGGCTTGCTGGCATCGTTGGCGATGACGCAGCCGGTGTTGCGCATCAGGGCGGAGATGTAGGTGGTCTTACCACCGGGGGCGGAGGCCATATCGAGAACACGCTCGTTGGGTTGCGGGGCGAGGGCCATGACGGGGAGGAAAGAAGAGGCGGCTTGGATGATGTAGTGACCGGCCAAGTATTCGGGGGTGGCACCGAGGGGAACGGCAGATTCGAAGACCTGGAGACCGACCTTGGACCACTTGCCAACGGGCTCGAGCACGACACCACGGTTGATGAGCGCCTGGGCGAGAGAACGACGGTTGGTGCGGAGGGTGTTTGTACGGATGACGACGGGACGGGGGGTTTCGTTGGCTTCGAAGAAGGCGAAGGCTTCCATGGGGGTGAAGAGGTTGAAGAGCTTTTCGGCTAGGTAGGGGGTGTAGCCGTAGTAGGTGCAGATGTCGGCGATGAGCAGCTGGGTGTAATCGGTACGAGACTTGCCGGGGGCACCGAGGGTCTTCAGATCACCCAGGATACGGATGGTGTCGGTAATTCTGGTACGGAGCAGCTGGAGATCGGGAGCCAGGCCGGGCTGAGTGCCCTCGGCGTCGCCAAAGACATCGGGACGGTCACCAGCGATGTTGGTCTGCATGGCGGATTCCTTCATTTCGCGCTCGGCCTCCTCCTCGTCTTCCTGTCTCTGCAGGTCCAGCTTGCGCGACAAACCCTCGATGTTGGCAGCGGTCAGCTTTTCTTCAGCGTCGGAGAGGTCTTCGTCGTCGGAGAACATAGTTTCGCGAGGGTGGTCATCATCGTCGGAATCGACGAACGAGTCGTTGTCCTCCTCCTGGCTATCCATCGAGCCATCGCTGATACCGTCCAGATCGTCGAACTCATCGGCATCCATCTCCTCAATACCAGACATTTCCTCATCGTCGTCCTCATCGTCGGAGTCCATGAACTGCGGCTTCTTCTCGACGGCCTTAGCCTTGGGCTTGGATTCAGCCTTAGGCTTAGCCTCAGCCTTGGTCGCCTTGCCATTAACAGCGCCATTGGCCTTCTTCTTAACGGCGGGCTTCGCGACCTTCTCCTCATCGGCATCAGATCTTCTCCGCTTCTTTCCCGTCTCGGGCTTCGACTCGGGCTCACCAGCCTTGCGCTTCTTGTAGATGGTGATCTTAGACTCATCCAGCGGGGCCGGAGGGCCCTGCTTCTTCATACGACGACCGACACCCATAATGAAAATGTGAATGGGAAAAGGGTGGTGAAAGTTGGATAACTGGAGTCTGAAGCGGAGAATCCAAACTTTTTTCTTTCGTTACTTTTTTTTCTGCGGGCGGTTGGCGCCGGCAGAAACAGTCCCGCAAGGCGGTAAGTATTGTAGCCTGAGGCACCCAATGCAGTCAGAGGGATGGGCTTCAGCTACCGCCCAATTGGGTAATGGCAGTACCACATGCCGCATCCATATTGACTGTCTCTATCTCATCTACCTCACCCCACCTATACACTTTCTCGCTCGACATACAACCTGCCTCAGCCACCTATATTAAATAAAACCGCAAAAATGTCCGAAGTCGCCTTCATCAAATCCTTCCTCTCATCGCTCGACTCCCGCCCCATCAAGCTCCGAGCAGACTATGTCCTCGACGAAGAGCGAGTCGGACCTCGCGTCCCTGTACGTGCATCCCATCCTGCCCCCCTCCTCTTCCCTATACTCTCCCACTCGGACCCGCATAACCCCTAAATCTAACAATAAAACAAACAGTACCTCCTCCCCCGCCTCAGCGCCCCTCACCCCGAAATGCCCAAGAAAGTGCAACGGACGCAAGCCCCGGGCTCCTCGAAATCCATAACCGTACACGTGAAGAGCGCACGCAACCCCGCATTCGAATTCACCTTGCCCAACGCACCCATCACCACGACCTCGGTGCAGGACATCAAAGACGCAGTTCAGGAACGGGTGGTTGACGCACAGGACGGAAAGGTGTCATTGGAGAAGATCAAGATTCTGTATAAGCGGAAGCCGGTGACGGGGAAGACGATTGCGGAGTTGTTGGCTGATGAGCCGGAGATGTTGGCGGGGGGCAAGGAGGTGGAGTTTGGGGTGATGATTATGGGAGGGGCGAAGGTTGTGGAGGGTGGAGAGGGAGATGGGAATGCTGCTGCTGCCGCTGCTGCTGCTGGTGGTGTGCCTAAGGCGGCGGTTGGGCCGAGTGGGGAGGAGGTATTGAGGACGGAGGCGTTTTGGGATGATTTGCAGGGGTTCTTGGAGCAGAGGTTGAAGGATAGTGAGGAGGCGAGGAGGTTGAGAGGGGTGTTTAAGGGGGCTTGGGAGAAGCAATGAGTTGTTATTTAATATTACGTTGGGAGCGCGGGGTGCTTAATGGTGGGTAGGTGTGTATATTGTGATATGATACCTTGTCATGGAATTATCTGACATTGATTTGGATGTGTGGCGTGACTTATTACTATGTGTGAGATTGCATTGGGGTGGAATATGTGGATTGGAATATTGTACAGGTTAAGGGTAGACCAATTCTCAGCGACTTTGAATACATCTATACTTCAGGCTTAGGTACCCTAGTTCGCAAACGGGTTCGAGAATAATTGGGGCAGAAATCAGGCAATGTACAGGCTGGTGCGAAAGGCTCTAAAGGACAGGGCAAGGAGATCATCATACAGCGTTCATCCACAGCACCCCCCATGTACTGGGGACCAGGGATATCAAGACATTCAAGAAAGGCGACCACACGGTCCGCAAATCCTATTCATATGGAAACACACCAAGAAATTCGCTGGTATCGAAAATGTCGTGTTATAAAGACACCTTGCAGACGTGTGGCAGACAGCGGTTGAACGTCACGGAGTATAAAAGCACACATTATATCCCCCCTTCGAGTCCGCGTGGGGTATGTGAGTCAAGGACGGGGCTAAGGAAATAAAAGGAGGTATGAAAAACATAAGCTCGTACCATCAGGCAGGGCTGGGCGAACAAAGCAGCTGATTGTCAATAGAAGGGTAGAAGAGTAAAGAAACTATAACCACAGGAGTAGAAAGGAACATATGCCAGGTAGATTGACACCGTTGCAAATGCTCGAGAATCGGCCAAGCGCTCATCCATCTCATGCGTGCGAAGAACATGCCGTAGGAAAAGGAAGAATCAGCTGTCGAAAGAAAGAAACATACATCAGCAAAGGGGTCTCGCTATCTCGAGAACACCTTGACAACCCCGTCACCACCTCCACTGACGACCCAGCGGCCATCGCGGCTCCAGACGGCGGCACACACTCCTTCACCACGCATCAACCGGTGACTCGTGATTTCTTGAGTGCAACTCCGCTTCTCGAGGTTCCAGAACCGCAAGCTGGCGTCATGACCCGCAGAGACTAGCTCACGTCCATCTGGAGATAGCGAAAGCGAGGCAATCGCCGATGGATGGGCCAACATCGTGTATGTGCATTGGCCTAAACATAGACCATTAGTATACGAAATAGCTAAGGAAAGCTTGGTGAAACATACCGCTGTTAGCATCGAAGAAGCGAATGTAGCGGTCTTCGTATCCACTAATAATTACGCCTTCGACACCACTGGAGCCAGTCGCACCATGGACGACTTCTTCTTCGCCCATTGTCCGACTGGGGTCAAGTCCTGCCGAACCATCAAATCCGACTGTAGTGGCGACAACAGAGTTAACGCCCGTCGAAGGCGTGCCATCGTATGTCTCCAGACTCGCCATGCCCACAATTTCCTCGCCAGTCCTTGTGTCATACACAAGGATGGAGGCGTCGGTGTAGGACACAACAAAGTTGATACCTGCAAGCGACAACGGGCTAATGCACGTTGGGGAGGGAGACTCGGTCCGAACAATCTGGCGAACCATACTATAGTGGAATGGCGTGGTAGTCGCCGTGCTGGGTTGCGGTGACGAGGGGAAGTTGGAGCCGGAAGAGATCGAGTTGGCTCTCCGGCTACCACCAGCGCGTCGAGACCCTGCTTGAGGGGAAGAAAGCTGCGGGGGCGCACTAACAGCCCATATGATGATACGGCCGTCCGCACCACCGGATGCGAGTAGGATACGATCGGGGCCACCGTAATGGCTGCTGGACTCACCTAACACAGAGCCTGCGGTTCCAGGTAGAACACAGAGACCCCAAACGGCGTCCGTATGGCCATCAAGAGTCGCCTTCGGGTCAACACGTCCACGTTCCCACACTCGAACGCTGGTATCTTGTCCACCTGAGAAAACCCAGCCGTCCCCGAGCGCACGGCCTCCATTGGAGAAGTTCTGCGGAGAGCATGCCGCCAGCGCAGTCACAGCCCCCACATGTCCACGGTGAGTGAAATAGCTGGTAATGTCCAGGTCACTCGAGCTTGCGCCAAAGGTGCCATAAGTGGCGGGTATAATCCATCGTTTGATCGTTCCATCATCACTGCATGTACAAATTTCCGGCTCCGAAGGGCTGCCGCCGCCCGTGAAAATCACCGAACGGACGACATCCAAATGGCCGCGAAGGGCGAACCGAACTTTGAAGGTCGGATCTGGCTTGGGGCCGGCTGCAAGGTCAACGGCACCATCACTCTTCCTTCTGGCGCCGGAACTTTTCCGCCGATGCGAGAGAGATCCGGACCGCTGCGGAGACTTGGAACTGACAAAGTTTGCATTCGGGAAAGCATCCACATCAGGCCGGTGCGGTGGTACCTGTTCCGCCTGCGGTGCTGGTTCGGCCGGCTCGTCGAAGTTCCAGCCATCTGCATCATCACCTTGCTCTTCCATTCGCTGTTGCTTGGCATCCTTAGCCGCCGATTGTGAGCCATATCCATCATATGCCTGGTCCCCCTGACCGGCGCGCTCATCCATCAGCGAGTTGCCGAGAGCCTGCTTTCTATTATCGATCGCGGTAAGCGGGGTTTGTTGTGGCTCGAGGGGTCGTCTCTCCATCGCTTCCCTGGTCGCAGGTGGGAAACCAAATTGATTCTGTGCGCGAGACATGGCCGCGTTATCTGCGTAGTGTGTAATGACGGGTTGGTGGTTCTGAAGCGCCACCTCTCGCGCCATCATATCGTTCGCTTGTGCTTGCTGCTGCTGGTGCTGTTTCTGGCGTTGCTGCTGGAGGTATGCCTCCTCCAGGCTCTGCTGAGACAGCTGTTGGTTGCCGTAGATGTGATTTGGGAGATCGTGCTCGCCGAGTTCCGGAGGAGGGTGTGACGAAGGAATGACATGATAGGCAACTTCCTGAGAGCACTTCGAAAGGTACAACCGCGACTTCTCCCGCTCGTTCTCTTGGCGATATTCGTGTTCGTTCTCAAGGTTCACATCGACTTCGCTGGGTCCCGTATGAGGCTTGGGGCGTTGGGCTAGACAGCAATCAGTACACCGATACGACATCACCACTCCGTAAACCAATAATAGACTCACCTTTCAGAGAGTTGATGCTTTCCTTGGCAATCTCTTTCGGATCCCTAGTGTCCTCAACCTTCTCATTGTTGCTGAGCTTCTTGACCTTCTCGCGCTCCTTCTTCAAGGCGGCCTCGAGCAACCTGACGTGCTTCCCCAATGATTCATGTAAACGTTTACTCGTACGAACATCACCCTCTAGCTTTCCGATGCGAGACTTCATTTCCGCGCGTTCGATCTCCCAAGCATTGCGGTCACGCTCGTGCCGGTGCCACTCTGTCTGCAGAAAGCGCATCACACCTAGAAACGAACCGAAAAAGCAATTAGCCTCTCCCCACGACCGTCGAGATCTATCACTTGGTACCCACCTTGCAGGGTGTACTCCGTCCCCTGGGGATGCCCGCCGTTAGAAGACCCATCACCCCCAGGGCCGACGTACCCTCCGCCCCCAGCCATGGCCGAGGGAGACTGCCAAGCCATGCAAAATCGACAATGGGAGAGGATGAAAGGAGTGGAATTCGTAGCGACCGAGCAGCGTAGCTCACGAAGTCGCCAGAGGGAGGATCAGGAAGGCGCTGTTCCCAATGGAAAAGGGCGAGGTGTGGTGATCTTCTGGAATCGCAGCCGAGTGTTTGTTCTCCGTGTAAGCCCACAGGTGGAGGGAACGGGGCGACAACGGCAGGAAGCGAAGTTCCAGGCCGTGTCAACGCCGAGGGGGAGGAAAAACAAACAATGGAAATAAATTTCAAGAGGGCAGTAAAGGACCCGATTAATTTTTTGGGGGACTCGGAAATGGAGCGTGCAGGGGGGGGGGAAAGGAGACGGTCAGCGATGCAAGCTTGAGCCCCCGAGACGATCGGAGTGACTGG